TAATCAGGTTTTGAAGGTTTCTTTAAAATGGCTCCGATAGCTTGTTTCCAGTATATTGGATGATATCCCAGGTTGAGTAGTTTGCTGAATAAGATAAAGAAGATATGAGGTATTGTTTGATATACTTTTATAATAATTTCTTGAATGATTCCATCTGGACCAAAGGTTTTCCCCTGTATTTTTGCGGAGCAGGCATTGCTCAATTCAATTTGAGAAAGACTAGGCCATTCCCACTTTTTGCAATGTTTATATTCTTCCCATTGTGGTTCTGGAGTAATAGAAGGAGATGGGAAAAGAGTCGATCTGAAAGCAGAGCATTTTCCTTCAAAGAAGCTTTCCGTTGAAATATCCGGTATTCTTTGATTTTGAAAATCTTTTGTATATGTCATTGCTTTAAATATAGTTTGTATATCTTCCTTTTCTAAGAACTCATTCCAATAATTCTTTTTTACAGTTTTGATAACTTGGAAATACTTATTTCTAACTATTCGATATTCTTCCTTGAAGATAGAGTTCTCTGAATTTGATTCAATTAATAGTTTTGATTTTCCTAGCTCTTTTCGGAAACTTTTCAGTTCAGGTGTCCACCATGGTTTGGCCTTTTTATTCGATCTGATTTTAGGTATACATCTCTCTGTTGCCTTTGTGATAATCCTAGTAAGCTCACTAGCTGCCTAGTCTAAAATTGACGAATAACTATTTCTTTCCTTTAATAGATTCAATGAATCTTTTTCAATTGAAGTTATTGAATCTAAAATTGAAAGAATATAGGAATTTGAGGATTCTGATTTTAGTATTGATTCAAACTTTTCCTAATTGACTAGTTTTATATTGTATTTAACCAATGGTGTTATATTAGATGTATTTTGTACTTCTTTTCCTTTCAACTCGAATAGGATCCCTGAATGATCAGATCCTATATCAGTAAGTGTTTGCCAATTTTGGATTTGAGTTGAAATTCCTTCTGTAGCAAAAGTGAGATTTAGAACACTTGGCTTAATTTGATTGGTACAATAATATGTACTAGTTCCAGGCTCATTTCAAAGTGTAAGATCTTTATCTTTCAATTATTCGATAAGGCAATCGGCATTTCTGCTTTTGTTGGAATAAGGGTCTCACCAAGGGTGATGGGTATTAAAGTCGCCTAAAAGAATCGTTTCTTGTGTAATAGGTGTATAGAATAGGCACCTTTCGATTATGTACCCTTTCTCTCTTGCTTGATCTACTTCATTATAGATATTGAAAATTTAGAATACTTTATTTTCGTTCTGAACGTTGAATATTTGCATATCTGGATCTGTAGGCGAGTTGGCAGCTAGGTTGATTATAGATTGAAATGATTTTGATATATATGATAATATGCATAACCAAGTATTCGGATTGAATCTTGGGAGTAGTTGAGTATAACTGGAATAGGAAATAGATCTTGAAATTGAATAATCGTTTCCATTTTTAATGATCCAAGGTTCTTGAATAATAATGAAATCGATATTAAATTCGATTGCAAGTTGTAAAGTGCTTTCTGTAGCTTGTAAACTTTTATTAAGGTTTATTTGAAGGATTCGTATATTAACATAACTCATTGATTGATATTGTAAGATTTTTGTAGAATTACTTGATAGATTTCATAGGTTTTGGAATCTGCTGTATAATCTCCTTTGCAATTAGAGCATTTAGGAGTAAGATATTGGCAACGCTTTCCTTTGATACTATATACTATACAGAGATGCTCTATTGTAATATGTTTGCTATTATATAGTTCATAAAAAGAATCTCTTTTACAATATGTATCTTGGTGTCCAAAGCCTTGGTATCTATAGCATTATGTATTTGGTTTGGATTTGTAGAACTTTTCTATTTTTATATTGACTCTTGTAATATACAATCATTTGCGAATAGCTAATTCTGTTTCTTGTTTTGTTGCAAATGTAATTACTATTGCTCCTTCCCGTTGATTAGCTCTTTTGGAAAG